GAGAACCGCGGTGCTCTTCGAGACGTTGATAGCAATCCTCCAGGCCCTGAGCCAGAGCTCCAGTCTACCGAGGTAAGCCTCCACATAACCGACGAGAAGCGTCGGACTAGGGATGTGTCGTTGACATACCTACTGAAGAGCACAGGGGAGACAAGTCCGCCCTGAATAACTCCGGCTCGCATGGCACGACTTGTGGATGTGGCCGACTGGAAGGACGTTTGGAATGTCTGGCAAGCAATGTAAGATGAGGTGGCTTTCACCAGGTAGAACGGGAAGTTGAGGACAGTTACCTTGTAGAGGAGGCCTTCGACCCAAACCGCGTCGCAGGCTTTAGCCACGTTCAGGAAAACCGCGCCGATTTATAGAAACAAATGGTCTATCTGCTTTGTTATTGGTTCAGAAGATTACGTGGCTTGTCAACCATTAACCAAATGAGTTGCCATGGTTTCAGAAGTATTCATTGCGCCTTTTTCGATGACTAACTAACTAACTAGATGGTTTACAGAACCCGAAGGTTCATCGTCGAATTAACCAAAGCCCTCCACCGGACCTTGTCCTGGGCCAACAAAATCCAGTCTCCTTCAACTACTATCTCCCACAGATCCTGAGATTATCCTCCCATCTACGTCTAGGTCTCTCCCGCGGTCTCTTCCGCCAGGCTTCCAAACCACCTCTTGTCCCATCCATGTGCGCCACATGCCCTGCCCATCTCACTTTTCCTGTCTTAATTACCCTGACAATACTGGGGGAAGAGTAAAAATTGTTACGTTCATTATTCAGTTTTCTCCATACCCCACCGTCTTCTCTCACAGCCCAAATAACCTTCTCAACACCCTATTCTCAAACACCTGCAATTTATGTTCCTCCCTCAGAGTGAGACACCGTGTTTCGCACCCATACAAAACAAGAGGCAAAATTAATGTTTTGTATGCTGTAATTTTCAGGTTCGTAGAAATCAGACGAGAAGATAAAATATTTTTAACTGAAAAGTAGCAGGCATTTCCGGAATTTAGTCTCCTCCTAACTTCCTCAAGAGTATCATTTTGATTTGTTAATGTTGTTCCCAAGTATTTGAACTTAATCACACTTTCAAAGGATTTATTTACCACCGAAAGATAATTCTATCCTCCTGTCTGCTGATGAGATACTAACATGTACTTATTTTATTTTCTGGATTTACTTCTAGCCCCACCTGTCTACTAGCCTCTAGTAAAACTTCTGCATTCCTCTTTATTGTATTCATATCGTCAGCCTATAAATTAACATCTTCAGCAAATGCAAACAACTGATGTACCTCATTCAATTGCAAACCCTTCTGCCTATCTTGGACTTTCCTGATGGCGTATTGTAGCGCAAAGTTAAAGGGCAAGGGGGACAAAGCATCTCCTAGTTTCAGACCATTCTTGATGGTAAATGACTCAAATAAATATTTAGCTATACGAATTTTGCTACAGGTTTCATTTAAGCATATTTTTGTTAGACACACAACTTCTTTAGTGTACCAAATTCAATAAGAATATTGAACAGCAGTTTTCTCTTTAGAGAGTCATAGATCTTTTTTAAATCTGTAAATAATTGATGTAAGGTCCCACAGTACTCCTATTTTTTCCCTAGTATCTGACGGATGCAAAAGATCTGATCAATTGTTGATCTGTTTCGTCTGAACCAACACTGATGATCCCCGATTATTTCATTCATATATGGAGTTCATCTCGACAGAAGAATGTTTGATAGAATTTTTTACGAGGTTGATAGCAGAGAATTCCCTCAGTAATTACCACACCCAGTCTTGTCCCCCATTTCTTTCTTATCCCAAATTAATTGAATAAGCTTATGGATCTTCATATGCAAACTCTTGCCACCTGCTTTAATTAATTCTACTGGAATTTGATCAATACCTGGAGATTTATAACTTTTCAACTTCCCAATGGCTAGTTAAACTTCATCTAAACTAAGTTCTGGCACTAACAGTTCAGCTGTATGTATTTTAATCAATCTAACATTATCAGTCTCATGAACATTTAAGAGCTGTTTAAAGAAATGTTTCCACTTATTCAAAATTTTGATTGGATTTGTAAGTAAATTGCCATAATCATCGTTTACCAAATTAGTATGAGGTTGATATACTTTCTTAAAATTATTAGTGCCTCTGTGCAGGTCTCTGATATTTTTGTCCTTACTATTTGCCACCAAGTATAATAATTTTGCCCTTCAGGTATTCCCTTTTCTTATTCCTAAAGGTTCTACTAGCTTTACGTCTCACGTTAAATGAATTATCTATATTCGTTTCTCTTGGGTTCTGCAACCAGTGGAGTTTTATTTCCTTCCTTCGTTGTATTAATTTTGAACATTCTTCATCTAACCATGATTTATTTTGCTTTCTCCTGTAGTATCCAAGTTTCTCTTTGGCTGAAAATTTCCCACTCCCTGTTGATGTCCACACTTTCATTATCTTTATCTGTCTCTAAAATTGAAACCTATTCGAGCCTCTTTCGATTATTATGATAAGTAACTGGGGCAGTGACAGATAGTTCATATTGTCATTGATGGCCAAGCAGCCTGTAACCAAACACGACACGTGGTCATTGGTGGCATGAAAAGATAAAACTGTTTTTGACAAAAAACAGAATGATTTTACTGCCATCATAACAGAGGATCATCGTCCTACCTGATAAGTTCAAGCAACGGTCACGTTTTTAGTACCGATTGTTGGAAATTAAAACAGAAAATTCGAATTTGAGATAGTCTCCAATGGCAAAACGTAGAAGCCAGATTTCACGGAAATCCATTCAACTCTCGAGTTGGAAAACGGATGACGTTATCAGGGGCGATAGCGTCAACTATGATACACATATCTTAGTAACATTTCATGGAAACATAAGCTAGTCGGATGACAACAGAATGTGGAATGTCATATTACAATACATATTATACAAGTACAAATCATACTATTATAAAGATTTCACATATTATATACAAATGTAGTGGCATATTACAAATAAATCTACCCATGACATTGATAATGATGATGTGGTCACATAATTTCATGAAAATCTGTACAGCCGTTCAAGAGTTATTACATGATAGAACGCATAGTTAGCATGCTCATAACATATGAGAGCACTATTTCGGCTGAAAAACGCGACAGAAGACAGAACAATTCCAGATATTCTTCCCTTGCGCTGAAATATACAGAATACCAAAATGCATTATAGTGCTGCGTAGCCACGTCAGAGCGCCGCATGAGCTACAGTCCACATATCAGGAGAAAATCCCTGCTAAGAACTCGATATACGCGCATGCGCAAGATTTCGCGGTGAGTGACGACCGATCCTAAAAGCATTCGTTCCACAACCACTGAACGAACAACAGACGACAGGCTTTCATGTGTTCTAATGGGTACAGCTTTAAGATTACCTCACAGTGGCACAGTGATTTAATCTAGAATATTATCGCAACACCCGCAGAACACATTAGAGATGCACTCACTACACGCTACACATAACGGCTTGATATTTTCAGTCTGTGTGTAGTAGCGTAAAACTCTGATGTATCACACTTCCCACCAATAGCAGCCCTCTAGTCCAGCTGATAAGTAACATTCCCCCCGCACCGCACCAGAAACGACTTCCGCCAGCTGGGTTTTTCTCGTCATCTGTGGACAGTAGTTTCGGTATGTGAATATATCTGCCAGAAAGTGGTTTTGTCACTGCAGTGGTTTTGTCACTGCAGTGGTTGTGCATAATTGTGTTGGTAGGTGGCTCTGCCAATTTTATTACAAAATATTCTGACACTGACTGAGATTTGAGGATCTCACGGCGGCGAGCACTAAGATGGATTCTTTTTGTTTTGTCGTTGGAGACAGCAGACAATTCTAGAACGTCGATAAACGTCTACTGGATTACACGGCGCAACAACCCAGAAGATAACCATCGTCTTACTTTAACACTGTTGTAATGACATCAATAGTTTAACAATTATGAATACACAAGAAAAGCGACAGAAACAGAGCAAATATCAGCGAAGGTACGGAGAATGAAATCATGAGACTGTTAGAACTGCGCTGTGTTCAGAATATGAAAGAAACTCAAAACGAGTACGTGGGTTGATGTGAATAAAGATCATACAGAAAGGCAAAGAATATAAGACGAGGAGTCTTGAGGAGTAATGTTACTATGTATATAAATATGGCCGATGGTACTAAAACGTTATTAATAGGTGTCATATGTGAAGTATGTGAGCCATGTGGTTCATTAACACTTTGCAACTCTGAAAGGTACGTACTGTGAAAGAAAGGAAGGGGAAAATATAAAGGAAAACAATGGAAATTGGGAAAAGAATGGGAGCCGCTGAGATGGGATTGCGAAGCGAACCCAAGGGTTGGGGGAATGACTGATTGTACATCTGTGATAGTTTATGTTCTTTGGCAGAACCAGCTGGGAAACAGCTGTGTGCGTTTACACGTGGCAAAGGTTAGTAGCAATAGTGTTGACGTATAAATATTAATTTGTAGTATATTTTGTGTTTACCGATTGGTATTATACAAAGCGAAACCTAAATTCCGTTGTTTATACGAATAAATTTTGAAGTCGGTTATAAAATGAAGTGATTTAAATGTACAGAAATTTCATATAAATAGTAACGTTTGCACCACTTAACTATTAAACAGTCGTATTTTCTTTATAACTGTAACGTTAAAGAATATATTTACTGAATGTAACACATTACATTTCGCAGCCCAAGTAATGAATGGTATGAAGGAAGGATGGTTCAGTGAGCTGAGCTCCTTATGGCCTGGAATAAGCCTCTCCCTGGAAGTCAATGAGGTTTTACATTCCGAAAAGTCGGATTTTCAGGACATTCTCGTACTGCAAACGTAAGGGTATTATTGTGAATATTTTTATTATGAATAAGTTAGAACTGGAAAGCAAATATTCTGCAGAACGTGAGTTGGTGAGGGGTTCAGAAACTTAGGGCAGCTTTTAAACTATACCTAGGAACCTATACAGTTTTCTAACTAAATTAATGGCCTAGAACAGAGGTCAACAGAGTATGGTCTATAAGCTTCATTCAGATGGTTTGCTAACAAATATTGCACTGAACATCCAACAAACATAGACCTTTGTTTAACCCAACAGACATACTTATAATACTAAAATTACATGTCCAGCTTATCCTAATTTTACTGTCCAAATTTTGAGGAGTACAAATTATGTAGGTCCTCAAAAAAAAGTTTTCTGTAGTCTCATGTTACATCCTCTCTCAAAGGTCGCAATATTATTTCAAAGAACACTGTTCTTAGAAGCTCACAGTCTGTTTTTCCATGAAGGTGAAGACCAAATTTCACACACCTACAAAACAACCAGTAAGAATATAGTTTTGTGTTTTAAATATTTTCATAGGTAGATTAGAGGCAGGAAGACAAAAAGCCACACTCCCATAACATATGTGAAACATTTTCCAGTTTTTTAATGTTGATATTGATGTTAGAACCACCATAAGTATATATGTCACAGAATGATAAATGTGCAGTTAAGTTTCATACACAGTGAGAGCATGTGGTTGTGAGCACAAAAGTGAGAGTCAAACTAATCATACTATTTTCAGGTCTCCTGCCACTGACAGCATTCATCTTTATTGCTTAGCCCACACAATTATTGCAGATTGATAATAGCTGTTAATTTACATAAGGAAACATGAGTGACAATAACTAATGCCCCATTATGACCCATTGATCCCTAGACATCATCCTGCTGACCTCTACACTGTGTATTTCACTAAGGAGTACATTTCTTTATCATTGTACAGAAAGACTTGTAAGTAGAAAACTGAAACTTTGCCATCCAAACAAAAGAATTTATAATATTGTTGTCCTGCTAATTATAATACTGCTACAGAGCAAGTTTGGTACTGCCTTTATTCATTAACCAGTTATTGTCATTGGTGGTATTCTACTTGAGGAGGAAACATTTGGTACAAAATAATAATAATTTTCATTTGAGATACAATTATGTATTCTTTTATCCATGGAGCCATTATATTTGTTACAGAAAATCTCATGGCCGAGCACTGATATTGGATGGAATTATTCAGTGCACTGAATCAGATGAGTTTGCTTATCAGGAAATGATATCTTTTCTGCCACTCTGCAGTCATCCCTTACCAAAAAAGGTATTGTCAGTTACTCAAAGGAAAAGTTTTTACCTTAGCAGTGCAGGCAGATGTGGAGGAACCAAATGTACCTCGTCAAAAACATTAGGGAGAAAAAAGAAAATTTAGTTTAATTATTAATTTGCCCACGGAACTCAACTGGACTACAGCACGAATGTTTTGAGTTTATACCATCAACAGAGAAAGAAAATTAAATTCATGTAACTTGTATACAGAACTTGATCTAATACAGGATAATGATTTCTCAGATGGAATATATCAGTTTCCAGCCGCAGATTTACAACCTTCAGACTTCTGCAAGGATCTGTACTATCAAGGTCAAAGCTCTTTTCCTGAGCAAGAAACAGTAACTAGAATCCATTGAAGTCTGATATACAGTCTGTCCACAAAGTCCCTTCCGGGTTTTGAAAAATTGTGGCACGCAAACAAATTGATCTAGCCACACTCGATGTGGGCTCCCT